TTTAAAAAATTTATTTTAAGACAGGGTCTCACTATGTAGCCCTGGCTGACCTGGAACTCACTGTGTAGACCAGGCTGGTCTGGAACTCAGAATCATAGAGATCCTCCTGCCTCCACCTCCTCAGTGCTGGAATGTAAAGGCATGTGTCATCATGCGTGGCTAAAATTTTTATTTCTTAGCATAGATCACAAGCTATTATTACTTGGCTCCTGCCATGCCCACAGCCACCTCCAACTACCTCCACAGACTCCTGTAATCTGGCCATATGGTTACTGAGTTATAAAGTACTCCATTGAAATATGCCCTTTATTTAGCCAAAAGGTTTATATGGCCAAAAAGTTTAAATAGAGGGGCTGGAAAGATGGCTCAGCAGTTAAGAACACTGACTGTTCTTGCAGAAGACCCAGGTTCGAATCCCAGCATCCACATGGCAGCTAACAATTGTCTGTAATTCCAGTTCCAGGGGATCCAACAGCCTCTTCTGTCCTCCGCAGGCATTGCACGACACGGGTGCAATTACCTACATTCAGGCATAACACTCATACACATAAAATAAAAATAAAAAATAAATTTAAAAAACGTTTAGATAGACAGTAAACAGCTAAGAACACACCAAGAAAATTGCAACATATGACAAACATCTACTATCCCTAATATAAAGGTGTCATTATATATCATTAAAACAGTGGAATTGCCAGGCGTGGTGGCGCACACCTTTAATCCCAGCACTTGGGAGGCAGAGGCAGGCAGATCTTTGTGAGTTCAAGGCCAGCCTGTTCTACATAGTGAGTTCCAGGACAGGTGGGGCTACAAGGAGACCCTGTCTCAAAAAGACAAAAAAAAAAAAAAACAGTGGAATTGTATACAGCACAGAAAAGTGGTCAAACAATATGAGTGAGCAGTTAACAGAAGAGTCAGTAAACATTTGGAAGATGATTAAGCTTACACTAAATAAATTTAATGGCCAATGAGATGGTTCAGCAGGAAAGGCACTTGCCATCAAGCCTCACTGAATTCCCAGAATCCACATGGTGGAAGAAGCGAACCAAGAACCAACTCCCACAAGTTGTCCTCTAACCTCCACATGAACAGCATGGCACATACACACATACACATACACACACACACACACACACACACACACACAGTAAATGTAAAACAATTTTAAAAAGAGAGAAACTCAAGCCCTGAGTGTGGTGGTGACATTAGGCTGAGGCAGGAGGATCAAGTTCAAGGCCAACCTAGGCTACACAGCAAGACCCTATCTCAAAGAAAACAAATAGCAAGCTAAGGAGATGGTCTTTGGGTAGAGTGCTTGTTGTGTAAGCATCAGGACCTGAGTTCAAATCCCTAGTACTCACATAAAAACTGGGTGTTAGAAATCCCAACACTGGGGAGGCAGAAACAGGTAGATCTCAGGAACTCACTGGCCAGCCAGTCTACCTGAATCAGGAAGCTCCATGTTCAGTGAGAGACTAACTCAAAAAAAAAAAAAATAGAGGGAGGAGCCTCCCCAAGAGCACCCGCAGGCAAGCACATCCATATGTACGCACATATTGTACACACACACACACACACACACACACACACACACACGAAAGTAAACACAAAATAAAACCACAAATTAAAGCAATTTATATATATTTTTTCTCTTTTTTAATTTTGAGACAGAATCTCATGTAGCCTGTTCTGGTTTGTTTCTTCATTGCTGTGACAAAATACTCTGACCACTACCAACTTGGAGAGGAAAGGGTTTATTTAGCTTACATATCCTGGTGAGGGAGCCCAAGGTAGGAACTCAGGGCAAAAATCTGTAGGCAGGAGCTGAAGCACAGGCCATGGAAGAATGCTGCTTACTGGCTTGCTCCCAAGGCCCCTGCTCAGCTTGCTCTCTTATCCAACACAGGCTCACCTGCCCAGGGGTGGCACCACCCACAATGTGCTGGGCCCACATCACACAACAATCAAGAAGATGCCTCACAGACATGGCCACAGGCCAGTCCAATGAAGGCAATTTCCCAATTGAGGCTCCCTCAACCCAGGTGTGTCAAGTTGACACTAAAACTATCCAGCACATAGCCCAAGCTGGACTCAAACTTACTATGTAGCCTTGGGCTGGCCTTGAACTCCTGATCTTCCTGTCTGAGTCTCCCATGTGCTGGGATTGCAAGCATGAGTCAACACATTTGGCTATGAATTTTTATTTGTAGGGCTAGCAAAGACTTAACAAAGACAAAAAACAGAACAAAGACAGAATTCCCTATATTTGCAAGTCCTTCAACACTGCTGGAAGCCACACAAGCCAATATGAAAAGTCACATTGACTCAGCAATTTCAGTTCTAGTTGTCTGTCCTAAAGAAGTATTTGCAGCAAGGTGTGGTGGGACAGATCTATAATCCCAGCATTTAGCTGGCTGAGGCAAGAGGATGAGACAGGAGGCTTCCAAGTTTGAAGCCAAGTTTGAACAAAAACAAAAACAAAAAAGGAAGGAAAGAAAAGAAAAAAAGAAGTTCAGCTTATACCTGTAAAGGAGGATCATACATTTGAGGCTGGCCTGGACTAGAGGGTTTGAGGCTAGCCCCAGTAATATGAGGCTCTGTATAGAAAAAGCACCAAAAAAGAAAAGGAAGAAAAGTCTGCATGAGTACCTAAAGCTGTATTTGGGGATCTGCAGCACTAACCTGTAAAATATTGGAAACTGCTGAAATGTCTCCCTCCTACCCATCCTACCCAGCACCTGTCTTCACTGGCAACCACATGCATATTTCTATGTGACTTCACAAATATCCTATGCACAGGCAGTATACCAAATACACATTTTTCTTTGTGAAAAACCTTTCATGGCCCTTACTACTTAACAAAAAATTAAGTCCACTTAATAGTTGGTGAATTTAAAACTAGTTTTTCCTTGGTGTGTGATTTTATTAAATGTCTTCACAGAACATCTGGTAAAAATATTTCCAGTACGATTGTCTTAGGTCAGCAATCTCAAAGTTTTCTTTTTGTTTGTTAGACAGAGTCTCACAATTTATCCCCCACTGGCCTAATCTCATTATGTAGACAAGACTGGCCTCAACGCAAAGATCATTTGCCTCCCCAGGGCTGGGATTAAAGGCCAGTATCATTGTTTAAAGTGTTTTAAGTTTGACTGTTGTTTCGAATTCTGTGTTGAGCTCCGTGGATGGTAGAGCCGGTGACTCACAGATTTTTTTGTATCAGCAGGGCCTACTATTTACCTGGCATAGTTTTCACTTGAGAGTCTAGGCTTAAAAGACATAACCTTATATTTGGGTGATACTTGAGAAGGAAACAGGTAAGACAGAAAATTCAGATGTTTTTCAGCCAAAACAAAACAGGAGCGAAAAAGTCTGTCCAGGAAGTGACATCGTTCTTGTGACTGGAATAGTTTAATGGAAGTAGTAAGGCTGAAGAGGTGCTGGCAGGAGGTTGCTTCCAGGGTGAAATTCCAAAATCCTTAACTTAGCAAGGTAAGCAGTAAAGATGTCTCCACCTATGTTTAAAGACAGCCATTCCAGCTCCCTTAGCTCTGGCTACAACCAATCATTACAATTTCCTAAAAACATATTGAGATGATGGCTCAGCTGACAAAGCACTTGTCAGGCAAACCTGACCACCTTAGTTACCCACTGGAAAGTGGAAGGAGAGAACTACCATGCATGCACGCCCAAACACACGTCATACACACAATAAACACCCTAGACCTGGACAGGTGGCTCAGAGGTTAAGAGAACTTACTTGCTGGTCTTCCAGAGGGCCGGCTCGCACCGCTAACAACCTTCCTAACTCCAGTTCCCGGGGGTTCCGAGGTTCCGACACCCTCTTCTCGCCTCTACTGGCATTGTATGCATGTGGTGCATTTACATGCATCAAGCAAAATACTCATACACACGAAATAAAAATGTTTAAAAATATTTAATAAAAAAAATTTTTTTGCTCTGCCTGCATGTAAGTGCGCTTGTGTGTGCAATGCCTCTGCATACCCGAGGACGCCATCGGATCCCCTGGATCCGTTTGGAACCTGCGAGAGCAGCAGTGCTCTTAAGTGCTGAGTCATTTCTCTAGCCCAGCCCCCACCACAAATAAATTTTTAGACATCATATTATACACCATAGCCCTTTCCTGCTTTGTCCATTACTGGGATGCTCTTTTCCCTTACAAATTATCTGCCAGGTCCACACGTGCTGACCAGGCTGGCCTGGAACTCAGAGATCCGCCTGCCTCTGCCTCCCAAGTGCTGACATTAAAGGCGTGCCTACCATGCCCGACCTCTACATTTTTAAGCCAGCGCCTCCACCTTCCTTGTTTTTTGAGTTAACTGAATAAGGTAGGCAGCAGACTCCATTTCCCTTTTTGTGTCCACCGAAAGCCCAAAACTCAGTTTGCCAACTACAGATCCCAGCTCACTCACGAAACATAAAAATGGTTCATTAGCTAGACTTAGTTTCTCTTGCTGGTGCCTTGCAGCCAAACTAGGTGCAAGATTGACCAAACGTCCTTTAAAGTCGCCCCGGAAGGGTTTGAGGCTACTGGCCTGGATTCGCACAAAAAGCTCTGACCATTTGCATTTGGGGGCAAAGACCAAGATTCAAAGCCTGGGGGTAGGCCCGGTGGCTCAGCATTTCCTGCCAGAGGGGTACTCAGAGCCGACGCCATGCGAGTGGCGGGCAGGGCGCGACTCCGTTCCCACAGGTCCCTTCCGCACGCGGCTCCCGCTCAACCCACTCCACCCTGGTCGGCCCGGCGGGGATCACGGCCCCGGCGACTCGGGAATCGCGCCGCTAGTGCGCCGAGACCGCTCCACCTAAGACTTGCGCACTGGGAAAGAAAAAGCTTCTAGACTATTCCAAGAGCCTTAGGAACCCGGGCTTGAACCCACCCCCACGGGCCCTCCGGCACAGCCCCTCCCAGCCCCAGTGCCCCCGCGCCGTTGCCCAGGTAACCGCGGGGCGGTGGCAGCGGCCGGGGAGGCGGGACTTCCGGCGAGTGACGCGCCCCGGCTCGGCTACAAAAGAGGAGCGCTGCGGCAGGCTGGGCGGAACGTTCCAGAACGCCCGGTGAGAGGCGGAGGGACGGTGGCGGCCGCGCTCGCAGTGCTACGCGTCTTCCCACACCACTCGGTGCAGCCCGGTCACCGGTGAGTTTGGGCCCTCGCGCTCCCGGCCTCCGCCTGAGCGCCAGGAAGCCGCGGCAGAGGCGGTTGGCCCCGCGTGGGCGGGAGGGCTGCAGGTTCTTGAGGCTGTGGCGACCTTTTCGGAACCCGCTGAGGCGCCCCGGAGGCCCCCGGCGCCCGCCCGTTCCCCTCCCCCCCCACAGCGACGGTCTGGAGGCTTCCGACCAGCTTCCCCGCCAGCCTGGGCCCTGCGGAGACTGCCGCCCTGGGCCCCTCCGTGCGCGCCCCCGCGCCCGGGCCCGCGCCGGGTGGGCTGTTAGCGCGCACGCGCCGAGCGCTGCCGGGGTGAGGGGCTCCGGGAGGAGCCGGGCGGTGGCTGCGGCTGACGCTTCTCCGGCTTCCTCTCCCTCTCTTTGTTGAGGGCTGGCCTTCCCCCTCCTCCGCCGTTCGATCGGGGTGGAAGGAAGGAAGGAAGCCGTAACGGTCGGCGCCAGGTGCCGGGGAAGCCCGGAGGACGAGGAGACGACGCCGGCCCGGGGGAGAGGGGCTCGGCGGTAAAGGTGGGTGAGCCGTGAGCGGTGCCGACGGGGCCCGGGGTCTCCTTCTGGCGAGTTTATCAGATGTACTAGTCGTGGTAATGTAATAACTCGTGGACGGAACCTATTAGTGCTGCGGTTACTGCTGTCACAACCTCTGGGGAAAGGAAACCGGAAGAAACCAGATGACCCATGTGTTAGTGTGGGAGACTAGGAACCAGCTGCTGTAGAAGGCTCTTGCATTCCCTCGTCTTCATTAGTTTGTATTCAGTCATTAGGATGTAATACCTCAATTATATCGGAAATTGTTGCCATTTGTGTTTACGGACAAAGAACAGATTGCTACTGTTAGGGTGCTGGAGAGATGATGGCTCAGCGTTTTTAGCTTGTACTGTTCTTCAAAGAAAACCGGAGTTAGGTTTCTAGCACCAATATGGGGCCCCTCACAACTGCCTATTAGTCCAGCTCTAGGGGGTCTGAGGCCTTTAGGCTCAAGAGTGCAGTGTACGACATGTGCACATAATTAAAAATAATAAAAAAAATTTTTTTAACTAGTTAAATTCATTTTCTGGTTTCAGGCTGTAGAAAATGGTGAAAGAAACCACTTACTATGATGTTTTGGGGGTCAAACCCAATGCCACCCAGGAAGAATTGAAAAAGGCATACAGGAAACTGGCCTTGAAGTACCACCCTGATAAGAATCCAAATGAAGGGGAAAAGGCAAGTATATTTTCAAACATGCATCAGCAGCTTTTCTGGTGTATTGTTTCCAGTGCCTAAAAGTCAGTGTCTGGATAGTGGCTATGCTTTAAGTTTTCTGATGGGATTTCCTTTTATCAAATAGTTTAAACAGATTTCTCAAGCTTACGAAGTTCTCTCTGATTCCAAGAAAAGAGAGTTATATGACAAAGGAGGAGAGCAGGCTATTAAAGAGGGCGGAGCAGGAGGTGGTTTTGGCTCCCCCATGGACATCTTCGATATGTTCTTCGGAGGAGGAGGAAGGATGCAGAGAGAGAGGAGAGGTAAGGAAAGTTTAGATTACCCTCAGCAAGATAAACCAGCTCCTGGTCGGAACAGACATGAAAATTCACTGATCAAATGATAGTTTATATGTTGATGAAATGTTACAAGCTGACCATAAAACTTCTGATTTCTGGTGTCATTTTTAGATGAGGTCTCCCTGTAGCCCCAGCTGTCCTGGAACTCACTATGTAGACCAGGCTGGCCTCGAACTCAGAGATCCGCCTGCCTCTGCCTCCCAAGTGCTGGGATTAAAGGTGTGTGCCACCAGGCCTGGCCAAGATGAGATTTTATATGACTAAAAATACCTAATGCAAGATTACCAAACAGTAAGGTAACAAAGCATAGAAACATTTCCGAGCCCTTTTACAGATCTTGATTCCTCTGCTGTTAGAACCTAATGGTAAGTACAGTGGCCTTTTCAGTTGAAGTTGAGACGTCACAAACTTTTGTATTTAGAGCCAAGACTGGAAACAACTCATTGCCTCCAGATGACCTGCTGCCTATTTAATATTGCTCCAACTTTACTAGCTCAACATGCATGTATATAATATTTAGCCCAAGGGGGAAAAAGTTCCCTATAGGCTGGATAAACACCCTTGATGGGAGGGATAACAGTATTCAGGAGAAAATAACTGTATTTCAGGGTATTTTATACAATGACAGATGGTAGCCACAGTTCTAGAACAATTGGGTGAGCTGTTAAATTTCACTTTGCCCTTTTAAAAGGTTTTTGGAAGACTTCAGAAGTTGTTTACTGTGTTATTTCTAAGAATTTACTGCAAAGGAAATCTGTAATCCTGGTAACTTGCTTTGTAAGCTGGTGGAATAGTTTGACCTACAGAAAAATTGTGGGTTTTCATTTCTTTTTTTTGAGAAGGGTCTTTATATGTAACCCCAGGTGTCCTGGAACTCACTATGTAGACCAGACTGGCTTGGATATCACAGAAATCTATCTGCCTTTGTCAGCCCCAACCCACCCTGGTGTTGGGACTCAGTGCTGTGTACCACCATGGCTCACTTGTATGAAGGAATTGACCTAATACCACTGGCATACTTCTTTTTGGCTTCCATCAGTTTGAGGGGTTTTTTTGTTGATGGTGTTCTATTTTGTTTTGGAAAATATGTGATCAATTTCCAGAAGCTTTGTTTCTCCTTTCCTGTACTCTGTATACAAAGTCAAGGGCAGTCTTCAACATGTCAGAACTAGCTACATGTTTCTGTTTGTGATAATGGAAGCCCAAAGTGAAGCAGAGAGTAGGGGACACAATGACACTTAGCCTCCTCATTTAGAGACTAAATGTTCAGTAGGTAAGTTATGCAGAATGGGGTTTAAGAACTTGATACAGGCTGTGTGTGGCACGCCTTTAATCCTAGCACTTTGAAGGCAGAGGCCGGTGGATCTCTTGGGAGTTCAAGGCCAGCCTGGTCTACATAGTTCCAGGACACCTGGGGCTACAGGAGACACTGTCTCAAAAAGAGCAAAAAAAACTTGATTCAGTTAGCTTATAAGGCAGTTCTGTGGTGTATAAAGTCCTCATGGCAGGATCATTAGCTAGGAACTTACTATTGAGTGACTTAATTTTTGTAGCCTCATTGTCCATATGTGATCTCAACCTTTCACCTGCTGTAGTATGTAAGTTCTGCCTTGCACTCTCATAGTCATGGCACACCTGTGAACTTTGAATTTAGATTAATTTAGAGGGAAAAAGGAATCCTATATTTTGAGTTGGCAGTAGCTACCACACTTAAGTTTTGCCCAATAATGAGTAGTTGCTATATTGGACAGATGAAATGTTTCTATCATTGCAGAAAGTTTTGTTGGACAATACTATTAAAAAGGCGTGAGAAATGGGTTGTAAACAAACCAGTGCTTGGTCTAGCAGTAAAAAACATCAATTGATATTCCAGTGGTGTCTCAATATTGGAGTCTCCAGCCTATTTGATTAGTAAGAATTACTATGCTAAAGAATATTTGGATGGCTGGGCATAGTGGCGCATGCCTTTAAATCCCAGCACTTGGGAGGCAGAGGCAGGCAGATCTTTGTGAGTTAAGGCCAGCCTGGTCTACATAGTGAGTTCCAGGACAGCTACTCGGACTACAGGGAGATCCTGTCTCAAAAATTCAAAAAAAAAAAAAAGGTTTGGATGAAGTAACTGGACATGTTGCTCAATGCCATACTACTTGTAAAAGCTTCAAAGGAATGCATGGTTGAATTACTGTGAAATGTACCCAGAAATATTTGAGTGCTTTTTGAGGAAATAACTTTATTGTTGTATTACCTCTATGTTGTTCAGCAGATTAACCTGATGAAATTTTCTTCAACTATAGTTCCATAAGTGATTGGGTGTATGTTGTGTATGGGTCTTTGCCCAACAGATGGACCACACGGGGCTTGTCTTCATTATTCTTTGCCAGTTTTCACATGGATTTTTAATGAGCAGCATTTTGTTCCAGGTAAAAATGTTGTACATCAGCTCTCAGTAACCTTGGAAGACTTATATAATGGTGCAACAAGAAAACTGGCTCTGCAGAAGAATGTGATTTGTGACAAATGTGAAGGTATGGGTTTCTGTTAAGTTTAAGATAAGGTCTTAACTTTGTGGATAGGTGAAATTGATAAATGATGCACTACCTAAGTCTTACAGTGCAAATACAAAAATGTGGCTGAATCTACCACCAACAGAAACACTGGCAAAATAGCATTTTTTCCTAACTAGCCCTTGCCAAAATTTGTCCAAAGTTCTGAGAACAGGCTCCCCTCCTTCATGTTTTTATTAGCATGTATTAATTACAGTGCTCATTTTTTTGTATTTTGTTTTTGAGGCAGAGTCTCCCTGTAGCCCCAGCTGGCCTGGAACTCACTATGTAGACCAAGCTGGCCTTGAATGCACAGAGATCCACCTGCCTCTGCTTCCTGAGTGCTGGGATTAAAGGCATTTAACATTTTCATATGTATATAATGTATTTTGATCATACCCCACCCCTCTTAATTCTCTGTCCCACTACCACTGATCTTTTCCTCTCCCTAACAGGTCTTCATTAGGGTTGCTTATGTGAACATAGGTAAGGGATTGTTGATAGGAGAATGGGCACCTTACCAGTGATTACATTGCAGAATAAAATGTGTTTCCCTTAGTCATCAACCATTAATTAGGTATAGATCCTCAGAGAGGAATTGTCAGCAGAATTGTGCTGTGGGAGCACATATTTATAATTCAAGATTCTGGTGTAGGCAATTTTGTAGTTGCTGTCTAGCTCACTGTTCCCTTGAAGTGTACCTTTTTTTTTCTTTTTTTGAAAGATTTTACATGTATATTTTGCCTGCATGTGTGTTAAGTACACTCATGTTGTGCAATGCCCATAAAGGCCAGAAGAGGGTGCCAGGTCACTCAGAACTGGATTTAAGGCTGGCTGTTAGCTACCATATAGGTGCTGGGAACCGAATGAACCTGGATCCTCTGTAAGAGCAGCCAGTGCTCTTAACTGCTGAGCCTTCTGTCCAACCCCCTAAAGTGAACTCCCAAAATTTAGCAATTGCTTACAAATAATTAATTGCTGAGCTTGCTCGCATTTCTGAGCCCTAATTGAAAAAACTTCTCCCTTGGAGGGGGTATAGGATCTCACCAACTGCCTTGGAATACCTGTTGTAGACAAGACTGTCCTGAAACTAGGAGATCCACCTACCTACCTCTGTCTCCTGAATGCGAGGTTTAAAGAAAGGTGCCACTGCACCCAGCCAGCTAGGTTTTTTAAGTTGTGCGTGGTGTTAACGAACATACGTCACCAGTGTACAGGTGCCCACAGAAGCCAGAAGGGGATGTTGGATCCCCAGGAGCAGGCGTTCTATTGGAGCTACCTAGTGTCAGTGCTGAGAACTAAACTCAGTCCTCTGGAAGAAGCAGCAAAAGCTCTTAACTTCTGAGCCATCTCTCCAGTCCTTCTGTATCTTGTTCTCTTGTTCTTTTTTTTCTCTTTGAGGTATGGCCTCAACCTTACAGCCCCTGCTGGCCTAGAACTCAAATCTGCCTGTCTCTTCCTTTTGAGTGAGACTAAAGTCATGCTCCCCAAAGCCTGGCTTGTCTCTTTGATGCCAGTCAAAATTCTAAGCACACATTACCTAGACACTGGGCTTTCTCAATGATGTACCTTCCCCTAACACAGCTGCTTGCTGACTGACCTCGCATTGCTCAACCTGTGTGGTTTTTTAGATACTAGCTCAAAAGGTAAGGCTGTCACTTTCACAGTCTCCCTCTTGGTAACTGCTGAGATGTATAGTACTTATTTTTTTTTCTCAACTACTAAGGTGGTCCTCAAAATTCGAAGGAAAAAGTATTTAAAAATTCAGGGTCTGGAGAGAAGCAGACCCTGAGCAGTTAAGAGTGTTGGCTGCTCTTTAAGAGGGACCTGGGTTCAATTTCCAGCACCCACATGGCGGCTAACTCCAGTTCCAGGGGATCTGACGCCCTCTTCCCACTTGGGTGGGCATTGCACAACACGGATACACTTAAATACATACAGACAGTATACTCATACACATAAAATAAAAGTAATAAAATATTTTTTAAAGTTCCAGGATTCTGAAACAGCTTGTTACTTTGCTACTAAATTCACTTTTTTTTTTTTTTCTTAATCTCTTTAGGGCGGGGTGGTAAGAAAGGAGCAGTGGAGTGCTGTCCCAACTGCCGAGGTACTGGTATGCAAATAAGGATTCATCAGATAGGACCAGGAATGGTGCAGCAAATTCAGTCTGTATGCATGGAGTGTCAGGGTCATGGAGAACGGATCAGTCCTAAAGACAGATGTAAAAGCTGCAATGGAAGAAAGATTGTTCGAGAGAAAAAGATTTTAGAAGTTCATATTGACAAAGGTGAGTTCTGGGCCACCCTACTCTGAATCTCAAGTGACATGGCAAGTTGTTAATATTTTTATAATTTTTATTATTAGACTGTGTGTGCGCATGTGTACAGGCACATGCACCTCAGCACGAGTGGAAGCCAGGACAACTCTGAAGAGTCAGGTCTCCACCAAGGGTTCCAGGATGAACTCAGGTCTTGGGGCTGCACAGCAAATGCTTTTACCTGATGAGCCATTTGGCCCGGATTTTGCTATTTTAAAATGAAACTAGTACTGTACTGTATGAGGCTGTGTGGTGTTTAGTCTTTGGGGTTGGTGTAGTTTGGTTTTGAGACAGGGTGTCACATTACAGAGGCTGGCCTTGAAGTTCTGATCCTCCTGCCTGCACATCCTTTAAAAAACCACCAAAGATTGCTCTTGCAACAAAAATTTACCACCCAGATTACATAATGTTGGGATTATAGGTGTGTACACCACTGCACTCAGCTTGAACTATTTACAGATGTGTTCTCATATTAGTATGCAAACCTACGTAAGACTTAATTGGTGGGCCACAATGGCAGTATTCTTCCATGTGAACCCTAATACTGCACTCTTCTTTTATCCCCAATGCCCAATGGATTTTCACAAATCTTTGATTTCTGTTTTCAGTTTTCCTGCCTTGTAGAATGACCCTTCTTGGCAGGCAGATCTCTTGAGTTCAAGGTTATCCTGGTCTACATAGTGAGTTCCAGGCCAGCTTGGGCTACAGGGAGACCCTGTCTAAAAAAGAACCTCCCCCTGCCCCCCCCCAAAAAGTTTAAGCCTTTACTGAATTAAAATGTGTGGGCCAGAGTTAGGAGTTGCTGGGACTCTCAGTAATAGAGCACATATTCCATATTGGGCCACTAGTGGTGGTACACACTCGTAGAATATGCTGATGAAGCAGAGGCAATAGAATCACAAGTTCAAAGCCAGCCTGGGATACACATTTTGGAGACTGGAGAAACAGCTCAGTGGTCAAGAGCATTGGCTGCTCTTAGAGGACCCAGGTTTAGTTCCCAGCCACCCACAGAGCAGCTAACAACCATCCTAACTCCAGGTACAGGGGACTCCGACACCCACTTCTGACTACAGGCATTGCACAACACCAGTGCACTTGGCATACATGCAGGCAATACATTATGCACGTAAAATGAAAGTATATTTTTTAAATAAGATGTTGCTATATTGCAGAATGCTCATTTTCTACATTGACCACATAGGCTAAGTGAATATCCAACACTAAACATCCTTTTTGTTCTTTATTTCTTTGAGTTTGCCCAGGTTAGCCTTGAACTCAGCAAAATCCTAAGTGCTGGGATTACAGACTAATATGCTTGGCTCTTTGTTTGCAGTACTAGAGACCAAACCCAACCAAGGCCTTTGCATGTTTTTATGTGTATGAGAATTTTGTGTACATATGTATAAGTACACTACTTGGATGCAGTGCCTGTGCAGAGACCAGAAGACAACTTTGTGGAGTCAGTCAGTGGTTTCCATCCAGTGTTTGGGTCCTGGGGGTTGAACTCAGGTTGTCAGGCTTGCAGCGAGCTCCTTTATTGGCTGAGCTACCTTACCAGCCTAGCAGGTGTGTGTGTGTGTATGTGTTTTGTTTTTAAACTCTTTCATGCATACCTGTGTAGTGATAATAACTTGTATTGAGGACTGAACCCAAGGCCTCAATACATGATAGGTAGGCAAGTGCTGTACCACAGAGCTACATCCCCAGCCCACATGTGTGTATTAGAGTTTATGGTCCTGATCTTAGTGCCATACTTATCAGTAAAAGTACAAAACTGATCTGTTTTTAGGCATGAAAGATGGCCAGAAGATAACATTCCATGGTGAAGGAGACCAAGAACCAGGACTGGAGCCAGGAGATATTATCATTGTGTTAGATCAGAAGGACCATGCTGTTTTCACTCGGTATGAACTTAAATCCATCTCTCAAATTGCCATCTTTTATGGTGGTGGTGGTTCTAATTTAAGTGAAATTTTTGGTAGTCTAAGAACGTAGTTGTAAATAAACTAGGAAAGCATTAACAGGTTCTGTATACTTTTTATAAAAATTCATTAACTTTGTTTCAATTGAAAACTGAATGGGATTTTTAAACTTTTGTCTTAAATTGTTACCTAGATGTTCTCTATAAGCACAAGTGGGTAGCAGGTAGCTGGGAGGCAGGCCTACATAGAACCTTGCCTTCAGTCTTGAGATAGTTGATTCAAAGTAAATGCTTTATAGCTTTCACCAATTTTCTATCCTCAATTCAGTTTCTGGATGTAAATATCTAAAACCATCTCAATAAGAAATTAAAATTTGAGACTGTTAAGTATTTAGAAATTCAGGTCTGCTACTGAAATACTGTCTTATATTGAAGCACAAGAAAAAGTTTAAAGGTTAACAGTAAATATTAAGTAGATCTGTGGGGCTGAAGAGATGGCTCAGTGGTTTAAACAGAGGACCTAGGTTTAGTTCCTAGCACCCACATGGTCCTCCATCTTTAACTCCAATTCCAGGGAATCTGACTCCCTCTTCCGGCCTCTGGGCACTGCATGACATGGGTGCACTTATGTACAGACAATGCTCACAGATAGATAAAATTTGAAAATCCATAAGCAACTTCAAAATAGTGGGCTTGGAAAGAGATTAGGTTTGGGCAGTTAGCTAGCATATTGTATTACCTGAATGCATGTGAGTGCACTTAATGTCATGCAGTGCCCACAGAGGTCAGAAAAGGGCGTTGGATCCCCTAGAACCAGAGTTAAAGTTGTTAGCACCATTTGGGTGCTGGGATTCGAACCTGAGTTCTCTGTGTGAGCAGTTAGTGCTCTTAACTGCTGAGCCATCTCTCCAGCCCCAGGGGTTAACATCATGAACAGACTAATTGAGGAACAGTTGTTTCAGAAATGTTTATTAATACATGTTGGAAAAGAAGTCCCAACATGAAGGAAAGTGGACTAAAGTAAGTATGAAGGATGCTATCACAGTGTGCTAGGTGTGATACACTAATATTTCACATGTATCAGTAAAGAAATTCTTAGTCCCTTCTAAATGGTCATAACTGGCCAAAATAATTGAAGATCCAACCCAAATCTGTTTTGATTTACACTTGATGTTCTCTGTCCCAAATGTGTGTTTCTTCTCTCGCCCCACTCTTGAGTGTTTTGGGATTTTGTTTTTTCCCTCTCCAAGAAATCATATTTAAAACAGGTAACAACTTGAATAATATATTATAGATGTAGCCTGGAATGTTCTTGAAAAAATGGCTCATGTAGCCAAGTGCTGAAGTTACAGGCCTATGTCACTTATGCCTAGATTATGGAAGAAATTTGGAACCTTATTCAGCAGAGCTGGCAGTTTCCAAATAATTGCCTGTTCTAAGCTTTCAGCTGCTTAAGGAGAATGAAGGGAAACATAATTGCCCACTATGGTACTTGTAGTTATTTGGTGATTTGGAAAGATGTAAATGTGTGTCATATTTGTATTGATCTAGACGAGGAGAGGACCTTTTCATGTGTATGGACATACAGCTGGTTGAAGCATTGTGTGGCTTCCAAAAGCCAATATCCACTCTGGACAACCGAACCATAGTCATCACTTCTCACCCAGGTATGGTAATACATGAGCTTTTTTTCTTGTCTCCTGATACCTAAGAAACAATAGGCACTGAAGGAAAACTAGTGCTTTCCTTTCCATCCTTGGTTACATGTCCTTTCATGAGCTGAGATGAAGTTCATAAGGTCTTGGCTGTATTGTGGCAGCCCTCTGGAAGAGCCTTAAATGAAAAGTAACATGATTGTTTGGCTGCATAAATTTACCCCTTCAATTAGCTTGGATGTTTTCTCTATTTTTTGTTTTCCTTGCATTATACAAATGTGACCTTAAGTAATGAAGAACCTGGCTTCAATGTTTTTAGGTCAGATTGTCAAGCATGGAGATATCAAATGTGTGCTGAATGAAGGTATGCCAATATATCGTCGACCATATGAAAAAGGACGTCTAATCATTGAGTTTAAGGTAAGCTATAATACTGCAGGACATTTGAGAATGGTTAGATTATTAAAATCTAATACAGACCAAGGCAACTACATTTTCATTCCCCCTTGTCCGGAATTAATTGACCTTGCACACTTTTGTCTTTTTAAGACAGGGTCTCCCTATAGCCCCAGCTGGCCTGGAATTCAGTATGTAGACCAGGCTGCCCTTGATCTCAAAGAGGTCTGTGTGCTTCTGCTTCCTGAGTGCTGGGATTAAAGGCGTGTACCACCATGCTCAACTTTTATCTTTTATTAACACCCCACTGTGTTGCTTAGTAACAAATTGCAACATTAATTGGGTGTTTTGAAGACTAGTTGTAAGAAGGGGTACATGGAAACATGAACATTTCATTAATGAAGGCTGTAATAGGCTGTATGTGCGTGCAGTTTAGTATGTGCCTGGTATACATATGAAGTACTTTCCGCCCACTTCCCAGCACTGCCATAAAAAGCAGGCTGTGGCAAAATTTTGTTGTAATGAAACTATTTACAGACAATACTTAAGGTTTGGTTTGTTAATAGTAAGAGTTGTGAGGCATTTTCACTTAGGGATTGGCCTCACCCACAGATAGACTATATCATTAATTAAAATCCCTTTGGATAGGGAAAAGATGACTTTTGAGCCAAAAAGACCCACCATTTCACTCTTACTATGGCTATTAAAACTTATGCTCTAAGTTGGACTGGTCTTTATAGGTATATACCTATAATCCCAGCACCAGAGGTAGAGGCTGGGGAGGATAAGAGTTCAAGGTCACCTTTGGCCACACAGAGTTCAGGCCTAGGTACAAAAGCATATGTCAAAAAACATGTGTTCTAAGGTGTACCTTAAAGAATGATTGCATGTGATTTTCTGCAGAAATAGTTCCGTGATACTTTAAGGATCTAATAGCAGAATTAAATTAAACTTTTTTTTTTTTTTGGTAGGTAAACTTTCCTGAAAATGGCTTTCTCTCTCCTGATAAACTCTCTTTACTGGAAAAACTCCTTCCTGAGAGGAAGGAAGTAGAAGAGACTGATGAAATGGATCAGGTAGAACTAGTGGACTTCGATCCAAATCAGGAAAGGCGACGCCATTATAATGGAGAAGCCTATGAGGACGATGAACATCACCCCAGAGGTGGTGTTCAGTGTCAAACCTCTTAGTGGGGCCAGTGAGTTAACACGACTGGCATTGTTCATGCAGCAGTGAATGAGTGGAAGGACTGTAATAATATGCTCACTACTTGGCTATTATTTTCGTTTTAATATTCAAATATAGTAGTGTTTTAAAAGTTAAATGAAGAATAAACACAAATATAAAAGCTCTGACTTTGCCCTGTATGTATGACTTAAGTGTGCAAGATGAAATTTAATACCTGTAAAACTACTTTGAAAATGTTCCCCTAGCATCTGTTAGGCCATACCTTGTAATTGATTCAGCTGTGTACGTGGACAAATTGACATGCTAGGTATATATGTTGACTTCATTGTTAAGCAGTGGGATTAAAATTGTGTTTAACTGGTAATCAGAAAAAAAAAAGTTTGTAGGGATGTGTTGGTCTGTCTAGTTGTGTTAAGTGGACTCATTGTGATGTTTCTGCATTGTACTGCCTCAACCATTATTTCAAGGTGGCATAATGAATCATTTGGCCTGTTATTAGTGATAGAATGATATCTTCCTAAAGACTATCATAATCTGCTGCTTAAGGGCTTGTACTTCTAGACTGCATTCCCTTCTGCTGTGCCATCTTTTCAATATATATATATATATATATATCCATATATATACACACACTGTTGACCAGTCCTACTTCTATTTTTTTTTTTTTCCCCCTTTCTTTTTGACCATTGGAAGCCCTTGAGATTTCCAAAGCTGGGTAATTTAGAAATTAAAAGTGAAGTGACCTGGATGTAGAAAAGTAATTTGCATGTATAATCTAGGAAGGTGTTCCTTGAGGAATGTTACAGGCTTACTTTAAACCATTTGACTTAGGCTCCAAGGTAACTGTAATCTAATGTTGGTAGTATAGTGAATTATGAATAGCTTTAATTGTATGTGTAAAGTTATGTTCACGTGCTTAAATCTGGACTCAGCATTTAAGCAGTTACTGAAATGTATGAATGTCTCCTAATATACTGATTACAAAGCATCTCTAGTGTGTCACTGCAGGCTTTGTTCCCCCTGCTCAGGTCATCAATGCATTGGCTTTTAAGATAAATGTCTACTTTTTATCTTTTTTGAGACCCTGTAGCCCCAGCTGGCCTGGAACTCACAGATCCACTTGCCTCTGCTTTCTGAGGGCCAGCGTTAAAGGTGCATACCACCACACCCAGCTGACAGCATTTTTCAAAGCTTGTTGGCACACCCTATAGTCAACACTTTGTCTATTAACTTATTGGTAGGTCACACACTGCAGTTCCTGAAAAGGTTTCCACTGCCACACAATGCTAGGTTTGTTCTGAGAGTTTCTCATCATGCAACCAAGGCTGGCCTTAAACTCCACCTTCCAAGTAAGTACTGGGATTACAGGCATAGTGGCTTGCCAAACTCCTTTACTGACAACAGCTGGTGGCTTGGTTGTTTTCTGCTTTTCTCTTGAAGCAGGATCTCCCTGTACAGCCCAGGTTGACTGTAAACTTGATTCCTTCCATCTCTACTGCACCTCACGCCTTGTCATCTTCCAGGAACCCTTTACTACCCGTCAGCCTGAGCTGTCATTGCCAAGACATCTTCCGATCACATGTTTTTAATTATTCCTTTTAACTTCTTAATCTCCCCTACCATAAGGCAGAAACTAGCATTTTTTAACCATCTTCAGAACCTGGTGCCATCAACAATTGTGTACCATTAAAAATGATCTTATACTTTGCTAACCATGCAACAAGGCTTTGGGGCTTGATCTCCATGACTAAAAATTTTCTGACAAAAGCTGTTTCTAAACTGAATCTTCATTGGGATGGCAACCTACTCTCACATGAAACTTAGATTAATGGCTGTATTCAACTAGCATTTTTAAAGCATCAAAATGTCAGCAAATATTACCTGGGTTAGAAAAGCTACAGTTTCTGGGCAAAGGAGGTAAAAGAGGGATTTCCCCCACCACAGAATTCATTTAGCCAGGCTAAGGCAGCCTTTCAAATCACAAAGGTAAACTGGAACTGACTAAACTTTGGAAGTTCTGATCATCTTGCCTCTACTTCCCAAGTGCTAGGATTATAGGCAGGCACCACCATGCCCAGTTTATGTGGCACTGGGGATCAAACCAAGACTCCATGCATGCTAAGCAAGCAAACATTCTACCAACTAAGCTTCATCCCCAGCCTCAGAATGCAAAACTTAAAGACTTAATCACTAGATTATAGTTAAGTGCAATGAAAAAAAAGGGGGGGGTCTCCCCCTGTAGCTATCCTGGAACTCTGCCTGCCTCCCAAGTAGGGTTAAAGGAATGTGCTACCAGAGCTGGCTAAGATCTCACTTAAATGTTCTCTACATCTTTGGTTGAAATGTGAAAGTCATCCAAGTGCAAAACATCTTCAAGTTTTTCTTCAGCTGATAATTATGCACATTACAAAAGACTTTACTAAATCTCAGGTCCTTTTCTGATTTTTCTTCAGAACAAATCTCCAGTGCTAACTAAACCCATAGGCAAGATGCCCAAACCTTGAATCTCATCTAATCTATTTCCAACCAGAATATGGAACTATATTCCCTGAATCTGGCCTGAACATACAAGGCTCAGTGTGTATGTCACCAGTCCTTTTTCATGTCACTGCTGGACTTGAAATTCAAGGGTAATAAGGATTCTCCCTCCCCCATTTGATTCTAAGTAAAAATATGTTAACTACATGAGCACTTATCTGTACAGTTTCCCAAAAGGTACAAGTTTATTATTAAAATCTTTTTTAAAAAATCCACAGCTACCGAATATGGCATAATGACTTATTTACAAGCTTTATGATAGGTACATTTTAATATTTCAAATAACTAAATTTTTTTTTCTAGAATTATCAGTATTTCAAATCTAGATTAATGAAAACACTGATTGCCCCAGTTAAAAGCAGATAAACATAACACCTTAAAAATACTGTTTTTAATGGTAATTGCTACTTAAGCATGAATTTTCACAAAATTATTCTTGTAGCTAATTCAGACAGTATCTTTTCTTACAAAGGCAGGCCTGAAAAAAGTAAAGAGTAACACATGAGTATGTCGTCAATTAAGGGCATGCTTTCTTTTCTAGCTCCATTTGAAAAGCTGTATCAGGGTTTCCAGAGCTTCAGCAGTCCATCTTCACTATAGGTAGCAATCAGGTTCTGGTGAGGGTGATGTGCAATGCCAATCACATCCTTCTCATGAACCTAGAACACGGAAAGCAGTGAGGATGCACAAGTCTCAACAAACTACACTCAGGCTTCCAGACTTGGGAGAAAGGAGATTTGAGGGGCCACATATTCCAAATGGTACTGCTAAAAGAGGCTTCACACCATATTGTGACATGAGAAACTTTGTTAAGCCTGAGATCTGGGGGCTGTTTATTATAGCAACTGACATTAATTACTCCTTGCAATGATGCTCTTTAATTTGAAACTTTTAATACACTGAGCTGAAAGGTTCAAAAACTATTTGAAAGGATAATGCCCAAGAGGGAATTGGAGAAAACTTAAGTCTCCCCAACCCCTCTGCCCCAGGATGATTTGGCCAATGTAACTCACTAGACAGGTATGTTTCCTCCTTTCTTTGCTATTTGTACAGTCATCCCCTTTGAAGTTGAATTGTATCATACAATAGACCTGAAACTGTAATATGTAACACATGTGTTTACAGACCCTTTATTTAGTGGTAAAATTCATTTTATAATGAAATTCACACTAATGGCAGGCCGCTGGAAAAGGTTTCTACTTTCGAGTTCACAAAACACAAGCATTACCATAGTTCTTTAGCTGACCTTCACCACTCACCGTCAAAGTTCTCTCCAGCTTGCCTGTGACTGTGCTGAAACAGTAGAGCACAAAGTCCTCCCCCACACAGTAGATCCATTCACCACGAGGAGAGAGGGCACAGCAAACAAAGTCACCACCTTCTCTTTTACCAGAACTGAAGCTTCTGACAATCTAGAACATACCACACCCAAAACAACACAAATTTTCATCAGTTTAAAGGGGGGGCAGCATGCTGAACTACCACTGCCACTGACCATATTATACCCACAGACCCAACATCTAAAAATTAACTCTGGCCAGGCATGGTGGTGCACTTTAACCAAGCACTTTGGTAGCAGAGGCCAGCCTGGTGGGTCTACCAAGTTACAGACCAGCCAGGGCTACATAGTGAGACCCTGTCTCAACCAAAAATACATAAAAATTAACTTTGGTGGTTTTTATTGTTTTATTTTTTTGTTTTTTGAGATAGGGTCTCTCTCATCTCAAACTTACTATGAAGCCAGGGTGATCCTGATCCTACTCCGCCCCCCAAGTACTGAGATTACACGTGTTCACCTCCAAACTCAGCTAAAATGGACATTTTAAAAGCTGACTTTTTTAGGAGTTGATGACTCAGCAGTTAAAAAAAGCACTGACTACTCTTGCAGAACACCTGGCACCCACGTGATGGCTAACAACCATCCCTAACTCCAGTTCCAGGGGATCCAACACCCTCTTCTGGCCTCAACACACACACAGGTACACTTACATACATGAAGACAAAATACTTGTATACATATTTTTTTAAATTGACATTTTTACATGATTATTTTACACTGTGATTACTACCTTCAGTTCCATTCATCGTGTGCTAAACCGTCCTGTTTAGAAAACATTCAATAGATAAGCTACCCAAAGTAAGAGACAGACAGAAATTTTGAATTTTTGTATCCAAGTCACAAATCCTGCTCTTTAGTTTACTGCCCATGTTTCCCCAAAGCAAATTCATTACCTCACAGTAATTTTCTAAATGGGTATACCACTGGTTCTGAGTGCCTTCTGGACTTAAGATTCAGTCACTTTACTAACAGTTGTAATACCGTCCCAAAGACAGGATGGAACTCTAAAGATTTTGCCTGCTTTCTTCCATACAACATCAAAGTCTTGGTGGTGGCTCACCTGTAATCCCAGCCCTTAAGAGGTTTAGGAAGGAGGACTGGCAACTGAAGGCCTATCTAGGCTTCTGTTAGTGTTCCACATTAGTTTGTGTGGTAATTAGATGTCCCCAAAGAGAAATACACACTGCACTGTACCTCCCTAACAGAAAGATGCTGTCTGAAAAGTTTCAGCCACATTCTAAAGGAGGCTGAAAGAGCAGAGCGGGGCATGGTGTTACACACCTGTAATTGCAGCACCAGGAGGCTGAGACAGGAGGATTACTGAGTTTGCGGCCAGCCCAGGCTTCATAGCAAGAGTGACTGAAAAAACAGAAGACAGACCAGAAGAAGGGCGAAAAGGAGAACACATAAACATGCTGGAGAAAAGAGGCACTTCTAGAGGTGAATGGTCTATGCTGCTCAGAACATACTAAGCCCTTGTTTGGTTTCTGAGTACTCACCTGCCCCTGCATGTTCATGATGACCACTGTGTTGGATCGGTTGCACACCACAAAGTGCTCTGGGTTCTTAGGAAGTAGAATGACACTGTTGACAGTAATGTCTGTCCCCGCAGTGCTGCCTAGGGATTTAAAGGTATTTGAACACTCCGTGGTCTTCATATTCCATATCTACAACACAAAAAAATGGAAAGCAAAAACATTTTTTTAGACTGAGAATTTCTAAAGTTTTAGGGCTTAAAAATTAATAATTAGGTTACTACAAAAAAGTTTGATTCAAACAAAGCTTGATTAAGAGCACTTTTCAAGTATTTAACTGTTTTAATTGGCATAAACAAAATGAAAATCAAAGCTAAACAATAACACCCTTTAAAAGATCTATGATCTTATACATTCTTCCTCAGCTAACAGTTATGTATCTTTGAAATTAACTGTGTCAATGCTGTTATTTTCATAAACAACCAGAAGCCGGCATGGTGGCACACACCTGTAACCCCATCACTCAAGAAGCTGAAAGTTCAAGTCAGCCTGGGTTACATAGCAAGACCCTACCCCAAACCAGACAAAATGCCAGGTAAGATGGTACACACTGTAATCTCAGCAGTCTGGAAGCTAAGGCAGAAGAATCACTAGTTTGAGAGACAGTGTGCTCTAAGACAGCCTGGGAAAGGAGGAAGAAAGGGAGCAGAAAAAAATACCCAAAGGGAGGAAAAGGGAGGGAGGGGAAAAATACCCACGGGGTAATGAGATGGCTCACTGAAGTTTTTGCCAAGCAAGCATGAAGCAAGTTTGATCCCCAGCACCAGTGTAAAAGCTAAATGCCTCTAATCCCAGCACTTGAGAATTGGAGGCAGGCAGATCACAAGGTCAAAGCTAGCCTCAGGAGTTGCTGCCTATAACTCCAGCTCCAGGGGATCCAAAGCCTTCCGGACTCTGCAGGAACATGCACTGCCCATGCAAAGACACACATAATTAAAAAATAACAGATAAATTTTAAAACACAAATACAGAAAAGTGATGAAGGAACAACATCAAAAGTTGACCTTTGGCCTCTGCATGCATACACTAGACATAGAGACTCACACATGTACAAACACATACACAAAAGGCATTAAGACCAAGAGAGATCAGCTTAGCTTAGGACTCTATACTGAAACTTCTGATTTAGTAGGGCTGAGGTGAGGCATAAGTATGAGCATTTTTTTAAAGTTCCACAAATGATTCTAATGTACAGCTTACACTGAACATGGACAAACAAATCACAAGGTTAGCACACACACGAGGACCATGAGGCAGTTACATACTCATCTTAGGTTTTACCCTGCCCTTCTGGCTTTTATAAATGAAGGAGTTTGACTTAACAGTCCAGAAATCTGTGATATGCTTAGAGGAGACAGACCAAGGACAGCATGGCTCTACTCAGACAGCCCTCACCAATAAGGTGTAAGAGCCTCTAGGGCATGCCCCCTTGCCTTTCCCACTGCGACCAAGACAAGCACTGCACAAGGCAGATGTCTACTCAATACCCAGAAACAGGAGGAAATAGCTGCCCAAAGTAAACATGATCTACCTGCTCCATGGCTTCTGAAGACCAGCTGTCTATGAGAAAAATGAACAGTTCAGAGATCAAGAATTCCAAGGCCTCTAATATTTTCTGTTCGAAGGGTTAATTAAGTACTCTGCTTCACTGGCTACAGAGAAAGAATACAAAACAGAGGCCACTTCCCAATGGCATTTATAAGCCATGAGGGTCATATGTGTAAAAGATGACAAACCTCATGGAAAAAGTAATAAGAGCTCTGGGTTTCCCCATCCATGGCAAGGGAGGGTATATTGGCTTTCAGGCTTTGGTTCAATTCCTAATCAAGAACAGTTTCAGACGATCTGATGTTTAGGTGCTTATGTGAAAATATCTAGCTCCTCTGTCACAAAGCACTCAGATAAAGGAATTTTTTTTAAAAAAAAAGCAGGTGTAGAATGCAATGTATAGGTGTGTTTCAAAGATCTTTAGCAATTTTCTACTGGAGTTTCTAACTTTTCCAAGAATAAGTAACTAAATAACAGGACTAAAGAAAGACCCATTACTTTCAGCTGAGATTTGAGGGGGCATTGAGGATGTACTTGAAAGTTCAGAGTTCACAGGATTTTATTTGGTTTTTTTTTTTGGAGGGGTTGGTTATTTTGTTTTGAGGCAAGATCTTGCTTTGTAACCTAAGCTGATACTGACACTATGGTCATCTTCCTGCCTCAGTTCTACTCTCTATCCCCCACTCTCTACAAATGTAAGGAAGGCCCTAATCTTAGGACCAATGAGAAAGAGAGGGGGAGGGAGAGAGAGAAAGAGACACTGAGATTCTTCTGAATTTAAGCCTAAGTGGTCAGTATTATTTATGGTAGGACATACTTAACCATGTATACCTACAAATTAAGGACACCTAAGTCTACAGCTCTACACACTTCCTCTTTTTCTACACAGGCAAAGTCTTTTTGGGTTGTATACTTTTAAGATTGTATACATTTATATTGTACAAGCCAGTAAGAATCTCCAACGTAATATACTTCTGTCTCAGACTTGTTTGCATAGCTAGTAAGTTTACTTTAGAGTCATCACCATTACCAGTGCAACCTCTTTAAAGAGGAACAGTGAAACAGACACCCCACGGCTAACACTTCACCTTTACAGTGCCATCAGAGGATGCACTGATAATGTAATGTCCATCTTGCGTAAATGTTGCTTCATTAACAAAGGAGGAATGGCCACGAAATTCCTTCAGTGTTTTCCCAGATTTTAAACCATGAATTCTATCAAATAAAAACAAATTAAATGAACAACTAATATACAGCACATTATTTGGGCCAAGTGTTGAGTACATTTCAGACAAATTACCAAAGTGTGACAATAGTAAGTGAAGAAAAAGGACTACTATGTATACAGTACATTTTCATTATGTTAAACAACAAAACGAAACCAAAACAAACTGCATAGCAAGAGACAAAAAAATTTCAGTAATACCACAGGCTTTTGTCCAAACTGGTAAATAAGAGATGAGGAATTAGTGGGTCTTGGCTGGGTCCCAGGAATCTACTTGTAAAAGGTCTTTTAAGGTGATTATGACTCAGGTGGCTCCATAGACCATGCTTTGTTTTTCAAAGGTAGGTAGCTCAGGCTGGCCTGGAACTCAAGATCCATCTGCCTCTGTCTCCCAAGTGCTAGGATCACAAACCTCCTCCACTACACTACAAACCACTCTGAGAAGGATGAAACACTGTTCCACCTTTTCAATCTCTTCTGGATAAAGACAGATGGGTAGAAGAATAGTGCTGTCACCTGTACTTTGGGAAATGGGGCCTCACATACCCATACTCTCCATGTCACCCCATCCAGGTGATGGCATAAACTCACTAGCACTTTTCCCTCTGGGGCCTCATTTTATCAGACCCAAATTGCCAGAGGAGTCTGGCAATTCTTTCTTACCTTATTGTCTGGTCAAAAGAAGCACTAAGGATCTGACTGCTGTCCTTTGAAAAGCTTAGACAGGTGACACCTTTACTGTGTGCCCTTTCAAATCTTCTTAAACACTGTCCACTCTGAATCTTCCACACCTTAAGAAAATAAAACCATTAGACTCGATAGGCCTTTAAAAAAAAAAATACAGGACACAAAAGGAGGGAGGTAGTGGGGGGGTCTGAATATGATCAAAACACAATGTATGAAATTCTCAAATAATCAGTAAAAATAAAACAAAAATCAAACCTACATCAAATTAGAACTAATCACTTTTCTTTCCAAATTTTACTATAAAATGCACTGAAATACAGAACCACATGTATTAATGATAATAGAAGCAGCATGTCTTGAAATCTGGGAAAAATATTGTATGAAACTCTAAAAATGTTTTTTTAAATACTTTATTATTTTATGTGTATGAGTGTTATGCCTGCACGTAGGTAAGTACACCCATGTCGTGCAATGCCCTCAGAGGATAGAAGAGGCTGTTGGATCCCCTAGAACTGGAATTACAGTTAACTGCCATGTGAGTACTGGGATTCGAACCCAGCCATCTCTCTAGCCCCATAAAAATGTTTTAAAAAGAAAAGCTTGTGAACAATGTTCCCAGTATATAGAGCCAAGCAAGAGGCAGAGCTCCCTAATACACCAAAAAGCATAAACATGCATGCTAGCACTGAGTATGATGTCTGCTTCAAACAGTGCAATGAGAGCTCAATCCTTTGACACTTAACTCTTTCCTTGTAAATTTTAAAACCAAGATTCAGGCTGGGGGAAAAAACCGCAGTAGTAAGAGCCATTGTCTAACATTCCCATAGCCCTGAGTTCAATCCACAGCACCATATAAAAGCAAAAGATTTTAACACCAAAGTCTAAGTTCACTAAGCAATGACCATTTCTATATTCTACCTATCCCTGGGTACATTACCAGCAATTAAAAACAAACCACATGGTGGTATAAAGCTTTAATCCCAGCACTTAGAAGGCAGAGGCAGGCAGATCTCTATAAGTTCAAGGCCAGCCTAGTCTAGATAGAAAATTCCAGACAAGCCAGGCTATACAGTGAGACCCTGCCTCAAAAATAAAATTAGAAAATGTGATACATCATATATAGTGAGACATAACCAAAACAGGCATGTGCAGATTTATGATTTACCAGTTGTGTGACTTTCAACAAGTTACTAGGCCACCCCAGACAGAATTATTAAGATTAAACCAGAAAAAGTAAAATAACTGGTATAAAGTTGATGCTCAATAAATAAGAGCTATTATTATACCAAGTACCACGTGTAGTATACCACCCTGTTATAAAACTCACAGAATGTCTGAATAACAAGACCTTACATCACCATCCATACCTTGATCTTTCCATCTTGGGCCCCAGTTGCTAACATTTCTGTATCTCTGCTGAAGCACATGCAGAGGACAGCATCATCCATCATCATGAAGTTATCCTGAGCCTGGTATTTAAGATCCTGAAGCAGGCAATGATAAATAGTTATCAGAATAACACAAAACCCCCTGGGTGTGGTGGTGCATACCTTTAATCTCAGCACTTGGGAGGTAGAGGTAAGTGGATCTCTGTGAGTTCAAGGCCAGCCTGGTCTCCATTGCAAACCCAGGCCAGCACTACCTATGGAGTGAAACATAGAACTATAGGATGAAAAATACATTTAAAATCAATGGGTAGATGGCCAATAGCAATCTGAAGGACAAAAATTTAGTTGGATCTACATCAACTTTATCTTCCTAAACAAATGCCAGTTGGATCAAATTTAAACATGGGGGTATATAAGTGTAAAGACCTCTTGTAGGTAGAAGTTGTGGGTCACCTGTAATGGGTACTGGGAACCAAATCTGGGTCACTGCAAGAGGGCTATACTGCTGAGCCACCTCTCCAGCCTTCAAGCAATGCAATCTACTTCAGCAATTACTTCAAATATATACCTACATAGCTGGGTATAGTGGCACACACCTTTAAGTCCCAGCACTTGGAAAGCAGAGGCAGACAGATCTCTGTGAGTTCCAGGCCAGCTGGGGCTACAGGGAGATCCTGTCTCAAAAAGACCAAAAAAATCAACAACAAAAACCATATACTACAAAGAGAGAAGCAAGGGGCAGAATACAGTAGATAGTATATAAGCTACCATGTGTAAAAAAAAACTTAAAGGAAGCATAAGTAACTGCTTTCACACACAAAGAATACTCCAGGAAAGCTAAATAAGAAACCCACAGTCCTGGCTTATTCCAGGAAAGTTTCTGACTGGAAGAAAGGGTTCTGACGTGGGTGGGAGTCACACTCTTCACCACAATACCTTATGACACTTTTTTGTGGGGTCTTTTTGAGACAGGGTCCTCCTGCAACCCCAGCTGGCCTGGAACTCACTATGTAGACCAGGCTAGCCTTGAACTCACAGAGATCTGCCTGCCTCTGCCTCCAAAGTGCTGGGACTACAGGCGTGCACCACCACGCTCAGCCTTATGACACTTTAAATGTCAGATATACATATTACTCATTCAAAATATAAAGTTCTATAAAAAAAATTTTAATTTTTATAAAAATCATAAAAGTATATAGATAATAAAGGTTCTCTCTTGGTTAATAAATTTATAATTTAGCTTAATGAATTTTTAAATTATAAAGGTAATATATATGCTCATTTCATATTCTCAAATCATCTAACAATGAAATAAATTATTATTGCAAAGTCAGTAATCCTCCCACTAAAAATGTTAATACATTTAAAATACTTTACCTTTCTGATTTTTCCAGTAGTGAAGTTCCATACTTCAATGAATCCATCAACAGACCCAGTGACCAGATACTGACCATCTGGAGAAAACCGAGCACACTCCACATGTGATTTCTGACCAAACTGTTCCAAATGAAACACATAAATTTTTAACTAAGGACCCAAATAATTTCCATTTTAACCTTCTGAAAAACCCTGTCCTCGCATACAATCATAGCTGGCTCAAATGGAGAATGAGAGGGTGTTTCTATACCTACCCCAGGAAATGCTTTCTCTGACCAGTTTTATGCCTAGATGCCTAAGTAGTTTTTTGTTGTTGTTGTTGTTGTTTAAAGGAGGTTGATTTTTTCCAAAGAAAATGCAGGGAAAAAAACTCTTATTTTGCTCTGTTCTCTCTGTGGCCTAAGCTGACCTACAATTCAATATGTAGCCCACGCTGTCCTCAAGCCTGGAATCTTCCAGCCTTACCACCCCCAAGTGCTGGGATTACAAGTACAAACCACCACCATCAGCTGGGGGGAAAAAATATTTTAACATGGAATTTAGAATAAATAATTCTGGAAGCTCAAATCACAACTTTCTGACAGAATTGGTTATTAGAATGGCTTTCCACTCACAACTTAACATGACCTAATATTAATATGTTCCTAGTGTGTATCTAGGGGAGGGGAAGATACATATTTTCAAAATATAAGTTTTGTAAACAAATTTCCCATCACTATTTGATGACTGTTATCAAATGATAATATGTGACTCATCAAAACTAGGAGGACTAATTAAACCTGATAGGCTATTTACTTGGTAAACATATTCTGGGCAGCTCCTAGGGGCTCACACATGCTAGACAAGTGCTCTATTAATAAACTAACAACCCCAGTCTTTTTATTTTGAGACAAGGTCTCAAGTTGTCCAAGGTGGCCCTGAATTCAGTCTGGAACTGAGAAAGGCCTTGAAAGTGCAGTCTCTTGCTTCAGCCTACAGAGTGTTAGGATTACTGGAGTGTACTACCACACCTGGCTATATATCATTTCAATGCAAAAAATGAAAAGAAAAATACCAGAAAAAACCTGGACCAGAATCAACAAGCTAATGGATTTCTAACTGAAGGTGTCCACCATAGTAAATACAGGTACTGCTCAAAAACATCATCACATGTAAATTAGAACATATAGTGCAGAAAAGACAAACTCAAAATACTAATAAGAAGTCAAAGAGGTGAGGAATATGGAACATTTGTGTGTACGTGCATGTGTGTGATGGGTATATATATGTGCAGGTGTACTTACTCATGCAAGTACAGGTAGAGGTCAGAGGGCGACAGGTGTTGTCTTACCTCTCTCCACCTATTTTTAGAGACAAAGTCTCTAACTGAACCTGGAGTTCCCGTTTTAGCTATATGGCTGGCCAGCAAGCTCCCAGGATCTGACTGTTTCTGTCAGTCAGCACTGAGTTACAGATGCATCAGATGTTATGTGGGATCTGGGGATCCAAACTCAGGTCCTCATGCTTGCACAGCAAGCATTTTATCCACTGAGCTATCTCCCAGGTCCAGATATATGCAATATTTTTAAATCCATGAGTTCATTACAGCACCAACCTACAGAGAAACTACAATATAAAGGAGATGCTAAAGTAACCGGCACACCAGCCATTCTGGGAGACAACTACTTGATTGTGCCTTTTCCTAGAAAAGTCTCCAATAAAAAAAAAAAAAAAAAAAAAAAAAACGATCTGGAGATGTAGCTCGGTGACAGTATGTGTGAGGGCCTGAATTTAATTCTTAGGGTAGACACACAATCAATCAATCAAATTAAACAAATAATAAATAAATAAAGCCATTTTCCCCAAATATCACACAAGTCAACTTTATAACCCATGACTGGTATTTTGCCTGACATGTAGCAGACAAAGTCACATATGTTTAACAGGACAAACGTAGACAGTTCAGAGTTAGTCCCAGGCTTAACCAAAGAATGGATGATTCTTCCAAATACAGGCTTTCTAGGAGGAAGTGCAATGGCAGATGATAGGCTAGATGTCAAGCACTTATCCACTTGGTTATACACCTGAGGTGTGCCACTACCAGGCCATAGCAGTACCCCAAACAGAACCTTGAGTATTGTCAAAGCCAGGGAATGAGCTCTCCTCCCTGGTAACCCAGTTCCTGCTACAGGGCCTAGCTAAGCCTATGAAGAGTACTCAATAACTGATTCCCAACTGCTAAGTGTTTAAGGTATGGGCTCCTACCTTAATGTGCCTGCTCAGCTGTGTAGGAAACTTTTCTTCTTCCACATCTTTGACAGCTGCTTTGCCTCGGAACAAATCAATGGTCATACCAGGAGGAAGCAATCCCTGGTGCTGCTGCCACTTCAATGCCTATTTTTAAAAAAGCAGAGCAATGTGCTCAGGTGCCTTCAAGAGCTGGTCATGATTGTTCAGGCAAAACGAAGTCTGAAAGAATGAGGTCCAGAGGACTAAGCTTTCCAGTCACCAACCATCTTTGACCAACCCAACCCAACCCAACTCAATCTGTGGTTGTGTGTCAAAGAACATGAGTTTTTCAGTGGAACTCTGGGAGCCAGAAATTATCTACCCCATACTTATTTTCCTTATAGCTATAGGTTTTGGGGGGATTTTTGTGTGTGTTGTTTTTTTACTTATATGAGTATTTTGCCTGCATGTAAGTGTACCCATGTTGTGCAATGTCCAGAGGCCAGAAGAGAAGTGTCAAGATACCCTGGAACTGGAGGTAAGGGAAGTTGTTAGCCATCATGCGGGTTCTGAGAACCAAACCCAGGTCCTTTGGAAGAGCTGTCAGTGCTCTTAACTCTAAGTCATCTCTCCAGTCCCTAGGTGTAGTTCTTTTACTACAAACAGAATTTGGAAAACAGAGTTTTTGTATAAAATACTCAAAAACAGCCACTATGAACATTTTCTATAATCTCTTCCAGTGTTTCCCCCTCATGTGTGTCTAACTGCTCTGTCAGTAATTGTACTATATGTAACATTTTAATATAATCCCTTCCGGTGTTCTCCCCTCACGTGTGTCTAACCACTCTGTCAGTAATTGTACTCTATGTAACGTTTTATATGCCCTTGCTTTCACCGAATATACCCACAGTAACACACCTTAGCATGCCGGCTCAGCTCTGTTGGAAATTACACAGCTTTCATTTGAAAGGCTGTAAAATGTATTGTTTACTGCATGTTTCCGTTTACCTAATCAATGTACCAGTGGACATTTGCACTGCTTCCAATTTTTCAACACCTATTTAATGGTACTCTGAACACCTCTAGATGTAAGGTGCACTCATATGCACTCCTCTTCCTTTGTTTCTAGACAGGGTCTCAGGTATCCCAGACTGGCCTCCAATTCACCGTAGAGCTAAGGATGACCTTGAATATCTGATCTTCCTGCTGCCACCTCAAGTGCTGAGATTCTTGCATTTTATTAATTATTATTTTTATTTTTTTATGTGTATGTGTGTATTGCCTGCATGTAGGTAAGTGCACCTGTGTCGTGCAATGCCCAAGGAGGACTGAAGAGGCTAACGAATCCCTTAGAACAGAAGTTACAGTCAGTTGTTAGCTGCCATGTGGGTGCTGAGATTTGAACCCAGGTCTTCTGCATGAACAGCCAGTGTTCTTAACCACTGAATCATCCTCTCCAGCCCAGATTCTTGCATTTTAAAAAATCCTCATAAGGCTGGAGAGTGACTCAGCAGTTAAGAGTGCTTGCTGATCTTACAAAGAAATGGATTTGGTTTCCAACACCTAACATGCACATCTATAACTCCAGTTCCAGGAGCTCCAATACCCTCTTCTGGCCGCCATGGACACCAAACACACATGTGGTACACATACAGTCATGCAGCCAAAATGCACATAAAATTTAAAAAATAAATTTTAAAAATGTTTAAATACAGCAACCCCATAAATATATACATTTTTTATGTATCAATTAAAATCAACAAATTAAAGAGAAAAAAGTTTGATTATTGTTTTTGTTGGGGAGCCAATCTAGGGCTTCATGCATAAGAAGGAAGCATTCTACCAATTGAACTACATGCCCATCCCCAGAATCACTACTCAGAATCACTAGAGGGCTGGGTAGGAGTATTTGTAGAGCACTTGCTTGACATGTGAAACACCCAGGGTTTGATCCCAAAGTCACACACACACACACACGCACACAATCACTACAAGCTTACAACAAATACAACAAATAACTCTTTGGAGTTCTTTCCTAAATGTTGATTTAGCAAAAAGTGGCTCTTTATAGCCTTATTAATCCCTCGTGCCATTTGCTATTCATAAAACACATATTACCCTAGGTCTGTTTTAACAGTGCTAAAAATATTACTACAAAAAAATGTACCAGTAGCAGGTACCATTTATCATTTACAAAGTGCCAATGAATATATGAAATATTTTATAAGCATTATCTTATTTAATCTTTATAATAACATCACAATAAACAAACAGGATCATAAAAACTTAATCACTTGATAAGACCATATAGCTGGTGAGAGTTTGGATTCTATGTAGGGTGAACATATGTTCCAATTTCCCCAACACTGTTCTATACCTGACGTCTTGGTACAATGATCAACAGTAATCTCAAGATAACCCTGACAAGATGATATAGTCTGTGGTCCCCCTAATTCTAAATGATACAGAGCTTATTTTCTTAAGGATTTGTCTACACTGCCTCTCTCGGGAAAAGGGTGGCATGGCACAGCTGTTGTGCAATCATCTCCACAGGTAGGTTCGACTTCTTAGGATGTGAGATTTCTTTGGCTCAGATTTATCCCTTATATTCAGAAAATAGTATGATTTCAGTTCTACACACATCTAATTACCTGTCCCAGCAGTGCCATGAGGCGAGATGGAGGCACCACACTGACTTCCCCTGCTAAGGCCTGGGCAATCGCTGCTCTTCTTTTCTCTTTGCTACTTCCATCGGGGTATGCCTGAAAAAGGAGGGGAGGCGGCATCACTCCCAAGAACAAACAAGGCATGGATGTACTTATTTAAAGCCAAGTAGTCTCAAAAAGACCAAAAAAAAAAAAAGCCAAGTACACAGACAAGACATTCAAAGAGGAAAACATGAAAAGAAACTACTCAAGATTAATTAAGGTGGACACAGGCATGCCTTCAATTCCAGCACTTCGGAGGCAGAGGCAGGTGGATCTTTGTGAGTTCGAGGCCAGCCTGGTTTACATAGTGAGTTCCAGGCCAGCTAAGGCTACAGAGACCCCGTCTCAAAAAGACAAAAAAAAAAAAAAAAAAAAAAAAAAAAAAAAGAGAGAGGATTAATTAAATTTAGCTTTTTAAAAATGGCTTTCCAATTGTACCCACTTGCACTTCAAAGGTATAGGAGAAAAACTGGTTATCAGTCAATCCGTGCTGTTATTTCCAGAGTCCAGGTAAACCACAAAGACAGATGTTTTTCTAGCTTTTGAAATATTTGCAGAGCCTAGGACTCATATTCTTCAGAAATTTCTTAAACGTTCTATTACCTAGTATCTATTAAATTCTTCCTTTTATTTTTGACTGGCCTTTGGTGAAATGTCAGGCAGGAAAGAAATTACACACATGCAGGTTTTAAAAGAAGAAAAAGAGGTCATTATCCTCTACTAGTAACCACAACCAGCTGGGAGACAAAAGCACAAGCTTCTGGGAATGCAAAGGGCTGGAAAGAAACAATTATCAGAGGAAGGGACATGAATACTCAGTGAACATACCAGCAGTCAGACAGCACTTCAGGGCCAAATAAGGACTTGGGCTAAGACAGAACTGACATAAAAATAAAGTTTTCCCTTTTCTAAGACAGGGTCTTGCTAGTGACCTTGAATTCTATTCATCCTCCAGCCTCAACCTCCTGAGTGCTGGCAATTTTTCACTTCTTTATTAACACACAATCCTCTCAAAAAGACCAAAGGGGGGGAAAAAAAAAAAAACACATTTCTAACTGGGTATGGTGGTATACACCTTTAATCCCTGCACTTGGGCGGCAGAGGCAAATGGATCTCTGTGAAATTGAGGCCAGCCTGGTCTACACAGAGTTCCAAGCCAGCTGGGGCTATAGGGAAACCCTGTCTCTAAAGTGACACACACCCCAGCCCCCCAAAAAGATATTTCTGGGACCTGGCAATATGTCTCTGAGGGTAAAGTACATGCTTGAGGACCTGAGGACTTCAATTTGATCCTAAGATCCCATGGTGGAAAGAGAGAACCAACTCCCAAAGTTGTCCTCTGACCTCCACATGTGACCACCCATGTGGCTACACACACAAAATTTTTTTGACAGACCACACTATTGCATATTTTCCACAATAACAAAGGCAAAAGGTACTAAGAGTCATACCTCACGAGGATCAAAATAAGACCTGGCTAAGAGGTTCTCCAGATGAATATAGCGCTCTGGTTGTGTTTGTTTTAACATAATCATAGGATCAGTCTGTCTCAGAAGTGACCTGGCAGCACCCAATTCACGGAGTTCTATCAATTCCAGAACAACCTGGACAAAGGAAAGAAAACAAATGTTCCAGCACGTTCTACCAGTATTCCTCTTCCAGTAAAATTTGACACAGATATGGCCTGTCAAAGTACTTTCCAATACTGGAAAATGCCACTTTTCTTTTTCATTAGCAACTGCAGGTAGACAACTAAAATAATTATGGTGTCACAGTAGTGCACTAATAGTGCATCAGTCTCACAAAAGTGTAAAATCCAACTCCTCAAATTCCACCTTTCTTCTTTTTTTAATTTATTTTTATTTTATGTATATGTGTTATGACTGCATGCAGGTAAATGCACCTGTGTCATGCAATGCACGGAGGACAGAAGAAGCTGTTGGATCCCCTGAAACTGGAGTTAAGGACAGTTGTCAGCTGCCATGTGGGTGCTGGGATTCGAACCCGGGACTTCTGCAAGAAGTGTTCTTAACTACTGAGCCATCTCTCCAGCCCCTCTTTTTAAATTTTTTTTTTAATTTTATTATTTTATGTGTATGAGTATTCTACCTGCATATATGTAAGTGCACCATGGATGCAATGCCACCCCAGACTCTAGAAGAGTGTATTGGATCCCCTGGAACTGGAATTACAGACAGCTGTTACCCACCATGTGGATGCTAGGAATCGAACCCAGATCCTCTGGAAGAACATCAAGTGTTCTTAGCTGCTGAGACATCTCTCTAGCCCCTCTTTTTTTTTTTTTTTTTTTTTTTTTTTTTTTTTTTGAGTCAGGAAGTCATTATGTAGCTCAGGCTGGCTTCAAAGTCCTAAGTATTGCTGCCACTTCCCAAGTGCTAGGAATATGGGCAAGCACTACCATGTGGGCTTTCTCCATCTTTTGTTGTTTTTTTTTTTTTCTTCTATTTTGGGGTCTTTTTGGACACTGTCTCCCTATAGCCCCAGCTGGCCTGGAACTCACTATGCAGACCAGGCTGAACTTGAACTCACAGAGATCAGCCTGTCTCTGCCTCCCAAGTGCTGGGATTAAAGGTGTGTGCTACCATGCCTGGCTCTCCTAGGATCTTGTAAGGAGCTTGCTGAGGCTTTGAGTCAGTCCCACTGCTAGGGCAAGTGGGGAGAAGGGGATGAAGACTAGGACTGGAGACTGTGTTAACCATCACGCCTACATAATGAAGCCCCAATAAGGCTGATGAACAGTGCTATGTGACGTGGGCAGCACAACCCAATTCCACAAAGTTAGCACCACAGTTCTACATTCAAGACTCTCTCAGTCTTTGCTCATAGTATGTCTTTTCATTTGCCTAGTCCTGATCCTTGATAATAAAACTGTAATCAGCCGGGCGTGGTGGCAAACACCTTTAATCCCAGCACTCAGGAGGCAGAGGCAGGCGGACCTCTGTGAGTTCAAGGCCAGCCTGGTCTACATGGTGAGTTCCAGGCCAGCTGGGGTTACAGGGAAACCCTGTTTCAAAAAGACCAAAAAAAAAAAGCTGGGCTGGAGAGATGGTTCAGTGGTTAAGAGCACTGGCTTCTCTTACAGAGGACCTGGGTTCGATTCCCAGCACCCACATAGCAGCTAAAAACTGTAACTCCAGTTCCAAGGGATCCAACACCTTCTTCTGGCCTCTATGGGCTCTGCACAACATGGGTGCACTTAAATACATGCAGGCAATACAGTCATACACATAAAATAAAAATAATAAAAATATTTTTTGAAAGAATAAAGCTCTTTTGAGTTCTGGAATCACTCTAGTGAACCATCAAACCCCAGTAGGTCATGGGAACCCCTAAATTCAGTCAGTCAAAAGCAAAGGTGACCTAAAATTGCCCCTCCCTGCCAAAGTGCAGCAGGCATCTAAAGTGATAGCTAATTTGTGTCAGACTGAGTGGTATGTGCTAATTCCAGGAGGCTAGTGCTATAACGGAATCACAATATATCATTTATTATCAGAATATTTCATTTAATGACTATTTAAGAAATAATTTCAATTTGGGAAAATCCTGGATCTTCCAAGAAGGAAGAAAAATACAATGTCAAGTCTTGAAGGAAGGCTCCCTGAGGCTTCCCAGTCAAAGGTCCAACCCACAATAAATCAACGGAAGAGCATCAGCATCACCCCACTCTTACCTGTTCATAGAGGTCAATAAGGGTTTTGTCTGGCAATTTCAGAGACTGTATAGCCTGTAAAACAGTATCCCAATGGCCACTATTAATATCAGCCACAAAACTTTCAATGCTATCCACAGTATTCAGAGAAACGGTAGTCTCCTCTTGTAAAGTGGCCAGTGCCCGATGTAAACTGTTCTCCTTCAGGTACTGCATGATGAGACGGATCACACTGAAAGAAAGAAAATCATTCAGCTTAGAGACCCTTAGTCACCAGAGGCCAAAGGGAAAGCCCACCCTGGTTTAACTCTACTCAGTCATTCTCCTTTCCCACCTGCCTTCCACTCCTTTATCATGAGAATAAAACTTTCCCAAAATCACAATAATCAAGGTTCCAAGGACTTCCATTTAGAGGTAGGAGAATTTGGGTTCAGAGAGAAGAAATCATTTGCCCAATTGTCTCCCACTCAGAAAAGAAGTTGGTCTTCAAGAGAGGTCCTCTCTCATCCTTAAACGCAGAACACAAATGTTGTCTGCTAATTATCAAGTGTCAGCAAGGGCAGACGGAGGACGGAGTCCTGGTGAAGTCCACAAAACTCTCGGGTCATCAGTTCGCGCCTCCCGCCTCCTCACCCCGACAACTACCCTTCTGACTCAATGTCCAGATTCTGCCTTTCCTTTGTGCAGAGGCTCTCGGTCTGCAAGCTGCAGGCAAACTAAAATTCAGCGCCAGACTGGGCCTGATCAATTAGAAAGGCACCAACAGCCTCTGAGGAGCCTCGGCTCTGGGATCGGGAGGAAAAGCAGACTCAGCGCGCGCGGGGCACCGGGATGGGCAACCCCGACGGGATGGACCACTCCAACGACACCGGGCGGGAAGTGCGGGGCAGAGAGAGTGCACAAGCCGGGTCTGCGCAGCGCGGCTCCGCACAGCCCCACGTCAGTGGGCTTCGGGCTTCCGGTGCGAGAGCCGCGTTCGCTCGCGGGCCCCGCTAGGAGGTGGTCAGCCGGCCGGGAAGCCCAAAGCCACGGCCTCCGCGCAGCCCCACCGTCCCCCTCCGGAGCATGCCGCACCCACGCCACGCCGCGAACACGCCAGCGCGGGACTCACTCGGAAGACTCGATTTCGATCGACATAGCGGTGCGAATCCGGGACCAGGCCCGGGTGCTCACAAGCCAGGTCGCGCAGCACCGCACTACAGCTCCGGCGGCCGCTTTATGTCACTTCCGCTCGGCTTCCGTCTAAGGGCGGAAAGGGAAACGGAGGGGCGGGCAATGTGAGCAGGGGTGGAGCCTCGTGTGTCAGTCTCAGCCCCCCTCTGGAGTCTCCAGTTCCTGGAAGCTTTGCTTTGGAAATCTTAACATTTGGTGAAATTAGCTGAATTAAAGATAAGAGTAGCCCGGCGTAGTGGCGCACGCCTTTAATCCCAGCACTCGGGAGGCAGAGGCAGGTGGATCTCTGTGAGTTTGAGGCCAGCCTGGTCTACATAGTGAGTTCCAGGCTAGCTGGGGCTACAGGGAGACCCTGTCTCAAAAAAGATCAAAAATAAAATTAATTAATTAAATCTGTATAATTACTTAACACAAGGCTTTTGTGTCTATCATACTTTTCATGAAATAGCTTCTCTTCTCATAGTTCCTATTAAATTCACGGTTATTTATATAGAGATGAGCTGCTTGTTGCTTCATATTAAAGACATAAGTCTTTCGTAGTAGTGCATAAGTATTTTTAAAATTAACACGCAAGTAGCAGACTTCCTTACTGAATTCTCCTACTTTCCTATGACATTTGCATATTCTGCATGCTTGGTTTGGAGTGGCCCTCTACTCCCCTCTCTCCCCCATCACCCTGCCCCATCACCATTACCTCTTAAATCCTTCAACCCCAGTACTCCCTCATTCATTCTCATACCACATGTGTTTCATTACCCTCTCTACCCTCTTCCTTAAAGCCACTGTTTTCCCTCCTCATAGGCCCATTTCTAGTTTTTGAGCATCTACTAAGTATTTTCATATGGAAATAAATTTATTTTTACTATGTTGGACATTATATTGATTTTTTTCATTATCATTGTAAGTAGATTATACTATCTATGAGTTCTGGGATAGTGAAGGAATTTTTACAAAATATTTGGAGGGCTTTGAGTCAAATAATAAGAACATGATGCAGAAATCCCTATCGGAAGTAATTCCAGGGCTGGAGATATAGCTCAGCAGTTAAGAGAGCTTGCTGTTCTTGCAGAGGACCCAGTCAGTTAGCACCCATGTGGTGGCTAACAACAAACCTTAACTCCAGTTCCAGAGGATCTGATGCCCACTTCTGGCCTCTGTAGTCATTGTACCACAGGTGCTCTTAAATACATGCAGGCAAAACACCATACATATAAAAATAAATTTTCAGAACGTTAAAATTTTTCATATTTATTCATTTTTATTTTATGTGTGAGTGCTTTGCCTGCATGTATGAGGTGCACCCATGTGTGCAGTTCCCACAGAGGCTAGGAAAAAGTGTCAGATCCCTTGAAACTGGAGTTACATGTGGTTGTTAGCCATCATGTGGGTGCTGGGAACCAAACCTGGGTCCTCTAGAAGAGCAGCCAGTACTCTTAACTGCCAAGCCATCTCTCCAACCCCTAGAAAGTTTTTTTTTTAACAAATATTTTCAACAGTCAAGTTTTATGGCCTATAATCCCAACTGCTTAGAAGGCTGAGGTGGGAAGATCACAAGATCCAAGTCTCCTTGGAATCCACGGATTCAAGCACAACGTTTGAGTCCATGGCTGAAAATAAGTGAAAAGAGGACTGGGAGTACAGCTGAGGGAGAGAGTCTGCCTAGCACATGCAAGGGCTACAGGACTACATAGAGGAGAAGAAGCAATTCCAGCACGAAAGCCATGATCTCTTAATTTCTTCATGTCTTTTAGGCCTCGCTATATAGACCAGGCTGGCCTCAAACTCACAAAGATCTGCCTGCCTCTGCCTCCTGAGTGTTAGAATCAAAGCCATGCACCACTGTGCCCAGATTCAAGCTCCTTTAGAAAATAAAAAAGAGATGGCTCAGTGGTTAAGAGCCCTGGCTGCTCTTGCAGAGGACCCGGGTTCAGTTCCCGGCACCCACATGGCGACACAACCATCTGTAACTCCGGTTCCAGGGGATTAAACACCTTCTTCTGACCTCCTTGGGCATAGCATGACACGCCTATACTTACACACATGAAGGCAATACACTCATACACACAAAAACAAAAATAATAAAATATTTTTTAAAAGAAAATAAAATCCGGGGGCTGGAGAGATGGCTCAGCAGTTAAGAACACTGGTTGTTCTTGCAGAAGACCCAGGTTCGAATCCCAGCACCCACATGGCAGCTAACAACTGTCCATAACTCCAGTTCCGGGGGATCCGAAGGCCTCTTCTGACCTCTGCGGGCATTGCACGACATGGGTGCACTCATCTACATGCAGGCAATACACCCATACACATAAAATAAAAATAATAAAATTTTTAAAAAAAAAAGAAAAAATCTGTATAATAAAGGAAAACTCGTGCTTGGCATGGTAGCACATGCTAGTCCTTGGGAGGCTCAGGTCTGGACAATATAGGGAGTAGTTGAAGCTAGCCTGGACTGCAAAAGACCTTGTTTCAAAAAAGAAAGGGGGGGTACTGGAGAGATTGTTCAGTGGTTAAGAGCACTGGCTGCTCTTGCAGAGGACCCAGGTTTAATTTCCAGCACCCACATGGCAGCTTACAACAATCCATAACTCCAGTTCCAGGGGATGCCCTCTTCTGACTTCCACTTACATACATGCAGGCAATACACTCATACACATAAGATAAAAGTAATTTTTTAAATGTCTTTTTTTTTGAGACGGGGTCTCCCTGTAGCCCCATCTGGCCGGAACTCACTATGTAGACCAGGCTGGCTTTGAACTCAGAGAGATCCACCTGCCTCTGCCTCCCAAGTGCTTGGATTAAAGGCAAGCACCATCACGCCCGGCTTAAATAAAAAATTTTTTAAAAAGAAGAAGAAAAGGGACCAGCAAGATGGCTCAGCTGGTAAAGGCACTTGTTGCCAAGCCTGATGACCTGAGTTCAGTCTGGGGGAACCACATGGTGGAAGAAGAGAATTGACTCCCACAAGTTGTCTTCTGGCTTCCACATGGGCACAGTAACACATGGGGAATACACAAATGGATAAATAAATGCAATTCTGCAATAAGATGAAGGAAAGGAGGAGGGTGAGGAAGGAGAGGGAGGGAGGGAGGGAGGGAGGGAGGGGAGGGAGTACAGGTCTTGGTGCTTTAATTTTCTCTTGTTACATAGGAGACTGGAGTTGTTGGGTAGTCCAACATCTGCACACTGGGGAGACTGAGAACCTGGTAGCTGCTCAGTTCATGAAGCAGCTATCCCAGTCTAATGCTGAAGGCCTGGATGATGTCTGGATGGTCTTCAGTTCACACTGGAAGACTGAAGAAGCTGGGGTCTGATGTGAGCAAAGCCTGGGGGATGGCACAGCAGCAGCAATGGGATGGACATACTCATAGCAGGGAGTGAAGGCAGGAAGGCAAGCCACACTGCTTTTTCCTCAGAACCACCCAGTGGAAGACACTTCCCATGCTGAGGGAGGGCTTCGCCTAGCAGCAAAGCCTTTCTGGAAATATCTTCCCAGACCCTCCCAGAGGCGTGTCTCTTAGGTGATCCAGATCCCCTCAAGTTGACAAGATTAACCATCACAAGGGGGTTATTTATCTTTTATACACTTTTATTTTTTGGCCACAGCTAGGAATTGAAGCCAGGGCCTCATGCATGCTAGGCAAGCACTCTGTCACTGAATTGCATCTCCATCCTGTACTCTTTACATGAATCATATAAATTTATATGAATATTCAATATTCAGAAATGTTAGTGTATTTGATTATGGTATACTACCCCCACACCCTGCCAGGGGATACAATAATACATACAGCATATATGCCACACTATCTTTCAAAATTTCAAAGCATCCAACCTGAAATTACTGGAAAATTACTATAAACCTCTCTCACCCCTCCTCTCTCTCCATCAAATCTCCTATTTGTACAAATCCATAAAGGCTACTTGGAACGATACCTAAGAACATGTGAGTGATGAAGTTTTAACTAATATTTACTCTCTTCATATTTTGGACATCACTAAAATGTTTGTTCATAAACTTGTAAAAATGAAATCTTAAGTCAGGTATGGTGGTATATACCATCATCCTAACAGTTGGGAAGTGACTTAGGAGGATTAAGAGTTCAAGGTCAGGGGCTAGAGAGATGGCTCAGTGGTTAAGCGCACTGACTGCTCTTGCAGAGGACCCGGGTTCGATTCCCAGCACCCATATGGCGGCTACGAACCGTCCTTAACACCACCACCGCCACCCCCTCGTTCATCCTACTGTACCATAGGCTGCACAGACACCAAGATATCCAACTGAATGGAAGTCAGTCATGCCAGGAGCTGGTACACCATCTCAGGACTACATCTGAATGCCCATCTAGAAGGCTGGCTTTCACAAGTACAGCCTACGAACAGACCTGCTACAGCCATTATTGCACCCCATGCAGGATACATGTACTGTGGGTCTTGTGCTGCCCATGCTTACAAACAAGTGGATCCATCTGCTACCCCGGGAGTTTTCATCCTTGGGCCTTCCTGTCATGTGCCCTCTCTTGATGTGCACTTTCCAATGTGGATATAGATAGGACACCTCTGTATGACCTTTGTAATGACCAAAAGACTTAACGGAGAGTTGGGGAAGACAGGCATGTTTGAATGCATGTCTCTGCAGACAGATGAAGATGAACACAGTGTTGAAATGCATTTGCCGTATACGGCTAAAGCCATGGAAAGCCATAACGGTGCGTCTACCGTTATTCCTGTACTGGCTGAAGCTCTGAGTGAGTGAAAAGAAGGGGAATTCAGGGCGGGCGTGGTGGCGCACGCCTTTAATCCCAGCACTCAGGAGGCAGAGGCAGGCGGATCCCTGTGCGTTTGAGGTTAGCCTGGTCTACAAAGCAAGCTCCAGATCACCTGGAGCTACAGGAAGACCCTGTCTCAAAAATACAAAAAAAAAAAAAAAAAAAAAAAAAAAAAGAACAGGAATTCAGAACACTCATTAGTAAATATCTAGCAGATCCTACTAATCTCTTTGTGAGTTCTTCTAATTTCTGCCACTGGGGCCAAAGATTGCGTTACAGTTAACATGATGAGTCCCAAG